GGGTGGGCGAAGCGTAAGGCTGAAAACCTCACCGCCATTTCTGAGCCGATTGTCTAGAGAAAATGTGGGAGCCTCGACGTCTCTCAACCCTGTGGGTCTAGTTTTACCTTTACCATCCTTCATCCAGTTGTTTAACAGCGAGAGGTAATGATACGTGCAGGACGTTTGAACGGTTTACATAATAAGGTATAATTACATGTTTTGAAAAACTCATATAATGATCAAGGTCTACAATATTTCCATTGATTTCAGCCGATAATCAAATTTCCTTGAATGAATAAGGTAGAAAATAATTTAAAAGAAATGTCACTGGAAGGTGCACTATACACGACTTTAGGGCATAACTGCAGGAGGTGATTTCTTAGGTCTTTGTGATCAAAAAAGTTCATATAAACATGTGTCCGATTTTGGACGGTTACGGAGTTATGACCGTTTTAAACTCAGAACAGAAGGTAACGATTACTGACAATAAACGGAACAAAATAATAAACCAGCATAATACATGATACATTTAAAGTATGAATGTAAAGTTGACTTCGTGAAATTACCTTTAATTTGAATTTATTGGTGCTTTAAGCTGATTTTCGAAAATGCCACCGACGGCCGGAACATAGGCTGCCGCTCGGTTGTGAACCGCGCGGGTAGCACGTAGCAGCTTCAGCTGGCTGTTTCTTATGTGGTCAGCGGCGTCCAGAATGCGACCGAGCAAAGCATCTCGCGTTGCCACCTTCACATTGTAAACCAGTTCTTTCTTCCATCCCCACACACAATAATGCAGTGGGCTTAAGTCTGGAGACCTGGCTGGCAATTCTTCGCGTACTCGTACGTGGACTGCGGTGTACCATATGAACAATGCCTTCTTCATTGACACCTTCATTAACACCGCGCTCGGCTGCAATACGAACGTAGTAAACACTCTCCGGTTCGGTATTCTACGATTCGGAAACCGTTGCTGATATTCAGCTACGGCAAGAACTGAGTTACCGTCACAAAACCCGTACACATAAATCATATCTGCATACTCCTCAAATGTAAACGTAAATGGCATCGTGAACGTAACAGACGCACCGAGATGAGAACTGTTCTGAACACCAGTAGCCGCCACACTAGCTGTGGCCGGACATAACAACCCACCACGCCTTAGGTACCTCTCAAGTGTCGAGATAACGAGAACGCTCTGTCTCTAGCTGGCAAAAAATAGCGACCTGCCAGATGATAGACCCGGTTCACACGAGGGCGTAAGGGAATGAAAAAACGGTCATAACTCCGTAACCGCCCAAAATCGGACACATGTTTATATTAACTTTTTTGATCACAAAGACCTAGGAAATCACCTCCTGCAGTTCTACACTAAAGTCATGAAATACCCTGTATATCTATGGCAGTTAGGTTTCAGATAATATGAACAGGTTTTGATCCATAAGAGTTTAAATATTTTATTAACATATAAATTGCATATTTACAATGAACTCTCGATTTTATGGAGTAATAAGTAAATTTGCTCCAAGAGGGTGTCTTGAGTAAAGTCATCCATTGGTGATACTCTTACAGGCCCTGTAGCGGAATTACGTATATAATGGCTTTAGCTTTCTTCATCTGCGGGTTCTGGTAGGTCAGACGGCCATAGTCTCCTCAGTCTTCTTCCTACATTTGGTGCGTTGCTAATTTCTGCAACTAGTCTGTTACTTTGCTTTGACAGTAGAGTGTTGACAATCTGTGTATTTCTTCTATGACAAATGTGATTTACAGATCATTATAGAGAGTAAATTTGCAGACATACCAAGGTGAGTTGGTTATTAAGCGCAAGGCTTTAGATTGGAATATTTGAATTATTGCGTTCAAATTTGGATTCCATAACTAGAGTGAGACATATAATGATTTTCGCGAAAAGATTTGTTTTCTTCAAGTGTGTATGTGATTAGAATGCTTGTGTCTAGACGGGATTTGAACTACAAGATTCAGAAAAGGGTATTTTTTTATTTCTCCACGGACTCAAATCTCTGAAAATTGTAAAAGAAATCAGAAATACGTATATACTGAGAGAAATTAGTTTTTTTTTACTGACTCTACAGCCCCCTTGGGCCCTGTCCTCTGATTTTTCAGTTTCATGATCATTTTACAGACAGTAAGACTCCCTGGACGAGTGATCGGCTCGTCGCAAAGAAATTAGCTTACTAAAACGTTAGTAAATGAGTAGAATAGAGCAAATCTTAATTTAGTGACTCCGATACTGCCTAATTTAAATATAGGCCTATATAAATATTCTTATCTCACTCTTCAATTTTTTTTTTGAGAACGAACAGTAATTTATTGGCTAATATGTGGAGATAGGGACCTTAATTTCTCGATTTCTGAAATTACAAAATTCTGGATAACTGAGGAGCTATTTAAAGGAAATAGCGGCTCCGGTCTATAAAACCGAAATTGACGGCCGTGGGGATTCGTTGCGCTGACCACGCGACACCTTCTATCACCTAAAGTTGGCACTAACTTCACCGACAAGTGGCGGTCGCTCGGTCGGTATATTTCGCTTGCGGATTGAAACCACGGAGTTTGTTTTTGTTTTATTATTATTCAGAAATATTTATATATTGTTTTTGCTGGATAATTTAAGAACTGAAATAAAATCTATATATTCCTTAGGTAGTCAAACTACATTTCTAGAGCAATATTTCAGAGCAAAGAGACCACGTCATCATTTACAAGTCAAGCCAATTTTTTAACGAAAGTAACAAAACAACAATTTATTTTTCTGAGTATAAGTCCGACACATTCAAGATTTGCATGGTCCGAAGAACACTACCTCTGTTTCGGGGTCTTATCGCGGAACTTCATGTGTACGTTAGAACGTCCATAATTGAAATGCAGATGTAAGTATAGTGCAAATCTCTCCACGATTTTCGTGAAAGCAAGTATGGAAAATATACGGTTATACACCACTCTACCTTGTGCCATTTGGCTATTTGGGTATATTAAAGCAGAAGCAAATACAACCTGACCCAATACAAAACAGGCCGATCTAATCCCACTCAGCACAATCTAATAAAACTTGTAATAGTTATTTTCCTGGATACTCTCTTATCGGATTTATTTTAATTTATTTTGATTTGTGTTTATGTTCAACTATATTTCCCTTACATTACTTCTCCATGTGTAGTATATTCCATGTTCGTCCTAAGTTCGAGCCATGATTAGAAAGCGAAATACAGTCACCATTCTGACATAACTTGTTGTCCTTGCTTCCTCTGGTGACATTACATCACAATAATTTTGGTAAAAGAAAATGGGACAAAATTTGGCTACAGAGGTTGTATTTTAATATCTAGGTCTCTTGTAAATCCTTGCCGGGAACTGCTGTTTCATTCTACCTTCATTTTCAGTCTATGCCATATTCACAATATTTTAGTATGAGCAGTATTTTCGAAAAACTATAATTTTGTCTGTGGTTCTGTATGGGTGTGAAACTTGGTCTTTGACGTTAAAGGAGGAACATAGATTGAGGGTGTTTGAGAACAGGGTGTTGAGGAGAATACCTGGACCGATGAGAGATGAAATGGCAGGACGTTGGAGAAACTGCATAATGAGGAGCTTCATAAGTTGTACTCTTCTCCAAGTATAATCAGAATGATGAAGTCAAGGAGGATGAGGTTGGCAGGGCATGTAGCACGAATGGGGGGACGAGGAATGTATATAGGATATTGGTGGGAAAGCCGGAATGAAAGATACCACTGGAAAGACCAAGGCATAGGTCGGTGGACAATATTAAAATGGATCTTAGAGAGATAGGATGGGATGGTATGAATTTGATTGGTCTGGCTCAGGAGGGGGACCAGTGGAGGGTTCTTGTGAACACGGTAATGAACCTTCGAGGGCCATCAGCTCCATGAGTAAGTAAGTAAGTATTTTCGAAACATTATCAGCGATACTGATGTGAGGTGATATGACTCTGGAACCTAACAGGTGATAAGAAAGTTTTGTAAATGCTTGCCAGTAGTCAGTGGGCTTTGTACGAGGACAGGTGAGTCTCCGGTTTTACGGATATTTTTTGCATTATAATTCAGCTTTCCTAAGAGAAGACTGAATTCGGCTAATACTTGCTACCATTCAGGCTAGAACTTTTGTCTTCTCGTCTGCTGTCCAAAAACATAAAAAGTATAAAATACAAAATTATAATTCTGCCTGTGATTCTGTATGAGCGTGAAACTTGGTCTCTGACATTAAGGGAGGAACATGGACTGAGGGTGTTTGAGAACAGGGTGCTGAGGAGAATATTTGGACCGAAGAGAGATGAAGTAACAGGAGGTTGGAGACAGGAGCTGGGCTTTAATAACCTCGGCGGTTGCTATGCAATGAACCTTCTGTTGTCACGCAACGCCTCGGACAATTCGTTACCTTTCATCTCCTAGGAAACGCGTTTGTTTGCCCCAGGCAACGGTCCACTATTATTGCGTGGAGACCCATTGTAGGCTGTTAACTTCCTATTGTGGCCGTTACGCAGCGATCACCGTAAGAAAGCACGTTACAATATTAAAATAGATCTTAGTGAGATAGGATTGGATGGTATGGATTGGATTGGTCTGGCTCAGGGTAGGGACCAGTGTAGGGCTCTTGTGAACACGGTAATCAACCTTCGGGTTCCAAAAAAATTGGGAAATTCTTGAGTAGCTGCAGAATTGGCGGCTCCTCAAGAAGGGTTCAGCTCCATGAGTAAGTAAGTAAATAAGTAAGTAATTTGGCTTTCCAGAAGTGGGTAACCGAGTTGGTTGTGCATGTGTTTCAGTGACACACATGGATTGCATTGGCGACCGAGGCACTGAGGTGCAGGAATTCTATCGGGGTGCCAACGTGCTGATCACTGGTGGGACTGGCTTCATGGGCAAAGTGCTGATGGAGAAACTGCTCCGGTCCTGTCCACATCTCAACACTATCTATGTGCTGATCCGTAGCAAGAAGGGCAAAGACCCCGAAACTCGTCTTGAGGATATATTCAGCGATCCGGTACGTACTGAAACTTATATCCATTGGACTGGATTTGAAAGCAGTCATGGGAAATAAGACCTAATGTACCACTGTACCTCTAATTTTCTCCATGTTACGAAAGGCGATTGTACAAATAGAAGGTAAATATGGTCTAATTAACATGGTCAAAGTGAAAATTTAAATAATTATCAAGGTCGTCCGGGAGTACAGAATAGTACAAAGACGTCATTCTTTTCATTTCATATGTAACAAGTTCAAAGTTTTGGAGGACGACTAGTTACAAAGATTGGCGCTTTTTGCGGTGTTCTTCCGCCTCCCAAATTAATTACAACATAATTCCTGGCTCTTTCAGTCGACCACACTTCTATTTTCACCTTTCTTATTCGTTCTCCACTGTAATGACTAACACTCTGATATCTTTAGTCTATAGGTCTTTGGGTTGAGTCCCGGACTAGCTGTCTTCACTGAGGGGTTTCTTGGTGTCCTTCTTTTGTAGTAGACGACCGTAATGAGGGTGTATTGAAATGGTCCAGGGGGACTAGTTGTCTGAACATTCGCTATTTGCAATTGGCTCTAATCATAACGTGTAATTCGGTTCCAATTAAACTGTGTAATTCCTATTTTGTACACGCCGCCTATTTTCGAAAACCAGAGGGCAGGGCATCACACTGTTCTGGGCATAATATTTCCACGCAAGGTCTAACCCTAGAAAAAACTATTAGCAACAAAGATACTAGGATTCTTAGAGCGTATAATTTTTAGTAGCTCTGGGATATCTCTGACTGCTTTATTGTCATGGGAATGAAGTCAGGGCGACCACAGGATAGGTGGATGTGTGGGTCCTAGAGCACATCTGAACGTGGTATTGTAGAGAGAAAAAGGTCTTACCGGGATGTGAATCCTGCGTCCAGCTCATACTGAGTTTCTTTACTGAATGGAGTCTTATATAATCATAAATAGGTGTATTTTAACTTTTAATCTAAATATAGCCTATTAAGAATTAATTTAGGAGTACACATTCGAAATACATTTAACAGGAATCAACGTTGTATCAACTGCACAACTGAAAAATTATTGTGCTTTAATTATCAAACAGATTTTTTAAATAAGTTGCAACATTTTTCGTGTCGTCCCCAATATTGCAGTGAGGAGGAAGAAAAGAGCTTAACAAGTAAATCTTTATCAACATCCGACATCATATTATAAGTATCTTCTCGCCGCCCATCACTGGCTACTAACTCACAGCCAGTAGTAGATACAGATTTCAAGTTAGGTAATGGGTCAAAATAAGTGGAATATCAATGGTGAAGTGAGATAAATACAAAAGAGTAGGTGTCTGGGCGTGCGTCGCAATGATACGAGCACATGGGGTTTCTCCCTAGCCTCTAGACATCTCAGGCAACCAACTGCAGCCTCAGACCTTGTTTGAATTGGCGACAACTCGGGAACCAGAGGCTACTACGCTGATCAAATCAAGACCTGATGTAGTGAGCACAGTATATTGTCACGTGTTACACTGATGCTGTTCATTCCTATGGCAGATATATGTACTTTAGTACCTAGTCACTGGTCAAATAGCTGGCCAGGAAGTAAGACGCAAATTTCACTCAGACAAGTTACGTTGTAAATAAACTTTCACTTTTTGTTTCTTCTTATTAACTCTCGATGCCACTTACTTAATTTAGCTGGATGATTCGAATATTGTGCTCTCGACTATATAATTCCGTAGAAGTCTCAGATGGCCAGACAATTTGGAAGATGTTGTAGAATTACTTTTATCACTGACAACGTAGGAAAGACGACTGCCCGAAAGAAGCTTCTATTCAAAGTGCGTGCCTCCAGATATGCAAAATTGTCACTGTATTAAATCGAGTATTCCCCATGCCATGAAGACGTATGGTGGAGTGGAAGTGTAGGGCCACCATTGTTGACCTCGGCACTGGACGGAGGGCAGTGGTCAGTTTCGCTCCTCAGCTACTTTACTCCCAGGGAAAGACCCCACGCTACTCATTAAATAAAAATCTGAGTGGGCCTGAGGGCAAATCTTGACGGTGTGGAGCAGAGAAAAATTTCTAGCCCTTCCGGGAATGAAACCCCCGCCATCCAGCCCGTCCCTATACTGACTGAGCTATCCTGGCTCCCAAATATAAAAATGCACATCGAATAGATCACAGAATTTTAAACATAATTGTTACCAAATGAGTGAAAATAGGAGCGGGTTGGTATACAAAATTTTACGTAGAGCAATCCCGTTTACTTGCTGAGGTATTCCTAACCTTAAGAAATCCAGCGGTTAGAACATATCTGGAACACATGTGCACCATTTGAACCAGATTCAAGGATTGTTCTTTTTCTTATTAACGTCAATTACTACATGTTAAACTACCACACAAGCCGGTCACGGTAGCCGAGCGGTCTAAGGCGTGCACTGTCTTCGCTCGCTCGAAAGCCGGGATCGTGGGTTCGAATCTCACTCAGGGCATGGATGTTTGTGTGCGTTTTTCTGTGTTTGTGTACAGGTAGAGGCCTTGCGACGAGCTGTTCACCCGCCCAAGGGGTCATACCGAATGTGTAAGATCAAGAAAGACCGAAGTGAACGAAGAAGTTCATGGAGGTAGGCCTAGGCCCACTGGGGCTGTAGTGCCAAGGAAAAAAACCACAACACACTCATTCAGAGAAAAGAAATTAAAACTTTCTTTTGTCATATGTTTTTGTGTTGCATCGATCGCTAAGTGAATGGAAGAAAAAACACTTGTCTATTCACCATAAGGTGACGTAATCCTGCCTCTAAATAAAACCTTCCACAGACTAGAAAGACATGCCGATAAAATAAAACAAGTACAACAAAAATAAAAATATATTTAGTAATAAAACGGCTACTTTTTAACCAACACGCTTTTCTGTCATCCGGTACCAAGTAGCAATTGCAGTTGATAGCGATGTAACTTACGAAACAGCCAGTGTATGAAATAACCGATCTGAGATTAGAACGCCGGAAATGAGTTTCATGCCTATTTTGTAATGTCACGTGCAAAGTAAACAAATTAAAAGTACGACAGTAAAATAATTATCATAAATGGGTTAAAATTGGTGCTAAGAATTCGAAACAAAAGCATGTGTAGCGAAATTATTGCTCATAGAACCTTCCAGGCCGTAACTTGTCCCAGTTCTTCGGAGCTGCGTCACTTTTGTGTGGACAGCCGAGGGGAGAGGATGAGCTGTTCAGGCGTTTATTGTCGAAAATTACGTATTGCCACCGTCTTAATTAGCCAGGCAGATCGCCATTTAAGGTGGAAGTCCTCATTCTCCCGAGTCAAATAAATCCCCAATAATACACACAATAAGACATTCACGTGACAGGAAGTGTAAATGATTAGAAACTTTTCAGTCGACCTTAAGTGCTGCATAATGATTCACAGGAAATTATTAGTGAAAGTTCGTACCTTATCTCTACAGAAATCTCTGATAACACTTTCTGACTAAAGTGTACAGAGTGATTCTATATTATTGTCGGAGTATCCGTGGAATATTAACGGTGACCCCGACAATAATTTAGAATCGCATTGTATTATCGTATGGAATTATATGCAACAATGACGTTGTAGTCTCGGCCTTGTCACATACACGCCACACACAAAGCGAAGGAACAGGGAAATGGAGAACATTTTAATGTTGCCAGCGATTTGGATAATTAGGGTTAGCATATCCACTATGAATACATTGTATTGTCCTTGCAAATAATTAATATAGTTGAGTACGAAGTGCTTAATTATTCATACTGGACTCCTGGACATAGCACTTGTCCCTTCTTCAGAGAGAAACTGTAATGCTGAATGTTATGAAAAATTAATCGGGCAGTTTATATTCTGAAAGCGAGGAAAGAGTCTAGGAAATTTCTAGCGGTAGAATTTTTTTTTTAAATTCGCTTAATTGTTTAATTAATGAGTTTGTTTACAGCTGGAGGAGTAGGATTAGAAGACCGCCTCTGTGATCTAGTGGCCAGAATTCCTGGCTACAGATCCAGAGATCCGGTTTTGATTGCCGGCTCTACCAGATTTCCTGAGAAATAGTGGGTCTGGAACGGCGTCCACTCAGCCTCTTGAGGATAATTGAGGCGCTATTTCTAGGAAATAGCGGCTCCGGTCTAGAAAACCGAAAGTAACGGCCGTGGGGATAGGTTGAGCTGACTACGCGACACCCTCTGTCCGCTAAATTTAGCGCTAATTTCGCAGATAAACGGCGGTCGCTCGGTCGGTTCGCTTGCCGGTCAAAACCATGGAATTTGTTTGTTTTGTTTGTACTAGGAATAAAAGAGGCGAATGTAAGTTAAACACATGTACGTTGCCTTATATTGATCGCCAATTGGTCATCCCATTTTAACCTTGTGTTTTCATTTGCAGTTGTTCGATAAAATGAAAGACAACGAGCCGAAGCTTCGTCATAAGGTGGTAGCCATATCTGGGGACTGTAACCTGCAGGGTATGGGGCTCAAATCCTTGGACCGGAGCCTGCTTATGGAGGACGTGACCCATATATTCCACGTAGCCGCCACTGTGCGTTTCGATGAGGCTATGCGCCTTGCCGTCGGCATCAATGTTATGGGCACACACAACGTACTGGAGCTCGCCAAGGAAATGTCGAAACTGAAGGTGCCCGACGGCTCATGCCGTCTTTCAAATTAGATTTAGCTCTACTTCAATTATAATTGTTCTGTGACAAAACAGATAAATTTGTGCTATATGTGAGGTTCTCACGCCTGTGACTATTAAGAGTATTGTTTTATTGATTTTTACACTGTGTAGTCTAGTAAGATTGCCTCTGTGGTCCAGTGATCAGAGTTCCTGGCTATAGATCTGGAGGTCCCGGGATCGATTCCCGGCGCTACTAGACTTTCTGAGAAGTAGTGGGTCTGGAACGGGGTCCACTCAGCCTCGTGAAGATAACTGAGGAGCTATTTCAAGGGAATAGCGGCTCCGGTCTAGAAACCGAGATTAACTGCCATGGAGAACCTATGCGCTAACCACGTGATACCCTCTATCTCCAAAAGATGGCACTAACTTCGCCGACAAGCGGCGGTCGCTCGGTCGGTATAGTTTGCTTGAGGACTACAGACCATGGAGTTTGTTTGTTTGTTTGTTTGTTTGTTTATATTGTTTGTAGCCTGGTATAGATATTCTGATGTTTTGGAGTAGCTTACGGCCTCCATCTTCGGGTTCGAAGAGTAGCCAAGCAAACAAGAGTCAAGCATAGACCATGAAGATGAAGGCACTGCTATGCTTTGACATGTCAATACCAGACTACACAGNGTGATGTGTGTGTGTGTGTGTCCATGAATTCCTGTCGTCCCTTGCTCTCCCAAAACACTGCAAGAACTCGCAAATTATCCATCAATATGAAGATTGATATTAATTGTACAGCTCAAGAATTTGCATATGCTAGTAAGTAGCTCCACTGCTTTATAAACGACCTTGTCACTATTCCCGCTAAATCTGAAATATGAAACTGCCAGCTGTGTCTTAATCTAACTTACATCCTTACTCTTGGAGCGGCGCCCTTCTTGAGGAGTCGCCAAATCCTCAGCTACTCAAGAATTTCCCAGCATTTTATGGAACCCGAAGGTTCATTACCGTGCTCATAAGAACCATCCACTGGTCCCTATCCTGAGCCAGATCAATCCAATCCATACCATCCCATCCTATCTCTCTAAGATCCATTTTAATATTGTCCACTCACCTACGCCTCGATCTTCCCAGTGGTCTGTTTCCTTCTGGCTCTCCCACCAATATCCTATATGCATTCCTTGTCTCCCCCATTCGTGCTACATACCTTGCCCACATCATCCTCCTTGACTTGATCATTCTAATTATACTTGGAGAAGAGTACAAGTTATGGAGCAGTTTTCTCCAACCTCCTGTTACTTCATCTCTCTTCGGTACATACACATTGTATATTATCTATAAATATTATGTTAATATATAAATTAATTACATATGGCAATTACAAATCTGAAAATGTATACCAGCAAATTGTCCAAGGGCATGTAAAGCAAGAACCTTGAAATACTTCAGAAAGTTTTTGCTTAATTAAACACAACCAGAATGTACAAATATTATGAAGAATGCCGTCTTCTGGGATGTGGCTCCGTGTAGATATTTTGTTAATCGACGTTTAAGAGGAACATATAGCCTCAATCTTCAGGGTATAAGAAATCCGCGAGTGATGAACGAGCGTGAGCACGTGTCTGTAGCCTCAATATTGACAGCAGTGAAAAGCTAACTCTTCCCATCCCAAATCAATAGCATATTCCCTTTCAAATACACAGCATATAGGTTCATATTTTGCATAATCTAAAATGATTCTAATTCAACATTAAATTTACGCAGTATTTATTGGTACATCTAAACTTTCTTCTTTGTTCTCACCGTCCAGGTCGTGATCCATGTTTCGACAGCGTACTGCAACTGTCATCTTCAGGAGATTGAGGAGAAGCTCTACACCTATTCATTCACACACCAAAAAGTATCCGCTATTGCGGATAGCGTGAGCGATAAAGTAATGGAAGTGATTACCCCATAGTAAGTCATTTGTCTTGTGCTTCACAGTTTCATAACTAGAGAGATGATATTAGAGCTAACAGTATACACCAACAGACATTACTCGTACAACTGGGTATGTGCTAATGCATGTTCTGTATCACAGTCCTGAATCTGTTAACATTCAGCTGTGCGTGTTCTCAGTGTCAACAGTTTTACGTATATGCATAATACAACTCCGTCTATGGTCTAGAGTCTCTGTAAATGCTTGTGGGACGAGAAATCAGTTAGGCTGTACAAGCAACTTTCAAAGAAGATGGTCACTGAAACCTAGGGCAGGGTTCCTTCTGCAGTAGATTGCAGTAACATTTCTTTCAATCCGTTTTCACTACCAACTGATTCAACACTGTACAGTTTTGAACCTGAAGATGGATACAGTACGTTGATGCAAAACATCGGTATCTGCCTACAAGACTAATACATGTCAGTACTCTGAAGATCATAATCTGGTAATCACGGCCTCGAAAACTTCAGAACTTATAGAAGAAAGTAACCTTGAAATTTCAAAACTTGTAGAAAGTAGCTGTGAGATGGTGCCATGGAAATTTAAAAACTTGAAGAAGCAAAGTAGCTGTGAGATGGAGCCATGAAAATTTAAAAACTTGAAGAAGAAAAGTAACTGTGAGATAGTTCCATGAGAACTTTAAAATTTGTACAAGAAATATAACTATGAGGTCCTAAGACTCTGAAAGGGGTCAAAAGTATTTACGAGTATTTACAGCATTACTGGATGAGCATTGTCATGTGCTGGACGGAGAAATACAAGTAGATTATAAAAGAAGTCTGAGAATCAAGAACGGAACTTGCCAAATTCAGGATATGTTATCACCAAATGTTCTCACAGTCCACTTATAATTTAATTTAGAGCATTATCTGAAGACATGGGATAAAGGTGGTTGAAAGAGATCTTACATACATTAAGCAGAAATAACTTGGTTCCTATTTCACAAGTGAACACTAAGCGTTAGCCCTGTAATAGTTGATTTAGACTGATAACACTACAATTGTTGGTATTATTGTGATTATTTTAAGTATTTATTTGTTATTCCATGCAATACATACATGTTAGTTCATTTGTTAGTGATATAAAGCTCTGATTCCTTTTCCAGGGCCCTCCACAAGTATCGGTAAAGAATCCGCAAACGAGCTCCGATAAATCAGTAATTAAAAAATTGGACTGGATTCCTAATAGATTCTAAATGCTTCTGACAATGGCGTATAACACTCAGAATTACTGGGGGTTTAGACTTATTTTCATCGTCCCGTATTCTACATACTAAAAACACGACGTTTCGGAAACTGGATTTGTTTCCGTCCTCATGTGACGGAGGAAACACCTACTCAGTTGGGTTCCTTAGGAAGATCACTGGACTTGTGAGCGAAGTTCGCTCTTTCTAAGGGGCCCAATTGAGTAGACAGAGTAGGTATCTTCCCACTCACCTGAGGACGGAAACAGATCCTGTTTCCGAGAAGTCGTGTTTTCTAGTTTCTAGAATACGTGACGATTGAAAAAATCCAAAATCCAAGTTATTCTGAGTGGATTCCTAATACATCAAATGTCATAAGGATTGTGGGTTTGTCACTACGATAATTGTTCTGAGCTAAACAACTTGCTAGTCAGTCACGGTAGCCGAGTGGTCTAAGGCATGTACTGTCTTCGCTCGCTCGGAAGCCGGGATCGTGGGTTCGAATCTCCCACTCGAGGCATAGCTGTTTGGTGTGTATGTGCGTTTTTCTGTGTTTGTGTTGTCCTGTGCTTAGTTAGAGGCCTTGCGACGAGCTGATCACCAGTCCAAGGAGTCCTAACGTCTGTAAAATGATCAAGAAACTGATAAATCAGCCCTATATGCTCAAAAGTGAGAGCGAGAGGAAAAAAAAATGGCATCGAAGACTCCCAGGGGAATAGAATAGTAGATCAGAGGCAAGTGCTGAAAATTTGGGAAAATTATATTTCAGAACTATATGATCGACCTAATCGGCCAGAAACCTTAGAAGTTGAACCGGAAGAAGAAGTAGATACAGACGAGAAAGGACCATATATTTTACAAAGTGAGGTGGAAAAAGCTATCAAGGAAATGAGGAAGGGAAAGGCTACAGGAGATGATGATGTACCTGGAGATGTGCTCAAGTTGTTGGGAGAAGGTGGTTTGAAAACACTGACAAAACTAATGAACACCATATATGAAAGTGGAGAGTGGCCCAAGGACTTTACAGAAGTTACAATGATTGCCTTAAAGAAAAAGACAAAAGCTACAAAATGCAGCGACCATCGCACAATAAGTCTTATTGCACATACAGCAAAGATAATAGCAAAGATACTTAAAAGAAGAATTGAAAGGAAAATAGAGGATGTACTTGGAGAAGATCAGTTTGGATTTAGAAGAGGAAAAGGAACCAGGGATGCAATTGGGATGATGAGAATTATAGCGGAACGAACTTTGGAGATAGATGAAGAACTGTGTGTTTGCTTCATAGACTGGCAGAAGGCATTTGACCGGGTAAACTGGACCAAATTAATGCAGATCCTGAAAGAAACAGGTATCGATTGGCATGAAAGAAGATTGATTAGCAAATTGTACATGGATCAGAAAGTTAGAGTACGACTGGACAGGGGGGAGACAGGAAGTGTGCAGATTGGAAGAGGAGTTCGACAAGGATGCTGTTTATCACCAATTCTGTTCAACTTGTACAGCGAATGCCTTACCAAGGAAGCTCTGGATGGGCTCGGTGACTTCAAAGTAGGAGGGCAAATTATTCAAACTGTGAAATATGCAGATGACCTTGTGTTAATGGCTAAGGAAGAAACTGTGCTACAGGGCATGATTGATAGACTAATTGAAATTGGAAGGTGCTATGGCATGGAAATGAATGTGGAGAAAACAAAAGTAATGAAAATTTCGAGACAACCAACCCCAGTCACAATAAAGATAGACCAAAAACAACTGGAGAATGTGAAATGTTTTAAATATTTGGGTAGCTTGTTAACAGATGATGGAAGGTGTACTTGTGAAATTAAATCCAGGATTGCCATGGCAAAAGCTGCATTTAGCAAGAAGAAGAATCTTTTTACCAGCAAATTGGACTTAAATTTGAGGAAGAAACTAGTGAAATGCTACATTTGGAGCATAGCTCTGTATGGGGCTGAAACATGGACACTTAGGGCAGTAGATCAGAAACATCTGGAAAGTTTCGAAATGTGGTGTTGGAGAAGGATGGAGAAGATCAGTTGGACCGATTATGTGAGAAATGAAGAAGTGTTAATTAGAGTCAGTGAGCAGAGGAATATCCTACACGAAATAAGAAAACGGAAGGCTAATTGGATTGGTCATGTTTTACGCAGAAACTGCCTTCTAAAAGAAGCTATCGAAGGAAAGATAGATGGGCGGATAGAAGTGACAAGAAGACGAGGAAGAAGACGTAAGAAGATGCTGGATGACCTTGGGGACAGAAGAGGATACTGTCATTTGAAGGAGAAAGCTCTAGATCGCATTAAGTGGAGGAATTGTTTTGGAAGAGACTGTGGACCCGTCGTCTGACAGATTACTGATGATGATGATGATGATGATGATGATGATGATGATGATGATGATGATGATATGTTTTCATGTTATACTAAGCCCGCCGAAAATGAATAAATAAAGTCTCACGCAAAATTCATATTTAAATCCATTAGGATGAAGAAAGGATGTTGTAGTGGATGACTTTCCAAGGTTTCGGAGAACTTAGTTTTCTTTACCTGATAACGTACTTCCGGTTATGCGCTAAATGCAAAGACTACAGCCTTAGCAGGACGAAAGGTAAAGACAAAGATCTTTCTCTGACCGCACTGAATGAGCTGTCTCGATTCCAAGCGAGAACAAAGGGTTCAGTAAACCGGAAACTGCAGGCTTGCATTAGGACTACTGAGGCTGCAAAACGACAGGCATCCATTCTTACTGCACCCAGTCACAATGTGATATACTTGCTACTTAGTCATTTAATAACGCTTTTCCAACTCCTTACGTTACACAACGTTGAATAGGATGATAACTGTCAATGTTACTTATTTTTTTTTAATTTTTAGTGGGGTGGGACTAAGTCCCTTGTACTGTGGCCACTTCTGGCTCATTGTACCAGCTCCAGATGATAGGTGAGGGTGACTGTGGAGAAATTGGCGGAATGAAGATTGGCAGGGGAAACCGAAGTACTCTGAGAAAATCTGCCCCAGCGCCACTTTGTCCACCACAAATCCCATTTGAGCAGACTCGGGATCCAACCCGGGACGCCGCGATGGGAAGCCAGTAACTAACATCTTGAGCTATGGCGCGACCATGTTACTTACTTACTTACTTATGGAGTTGAGCCCTTCTTGAGAAGTCAAATCTGCAGCTACTCAAGAATTTCCCAGGTTTTTATGGAACCCAAAGGTTCGTTACAGGTTCACAAGAGCCTTCCACTGATCCCTATAATGAGTCAGATCAATCCAATCCAATCCATACCATCCCATCCTATCTCTCTAAGATCCATTTTAATATATACTGTGACTGTTATTCCGTGGAATTAAGCGGGTAATTTTTTATTTCAAGGAACTTCATTTTTAGCGACTGAGAAAAACACGAAATATCTAAGTTGCGAGATCTAGTCTCCGGTCCTAAAATATAACCCGAAATCTCCAAAAATCAATGCAGGAATAAGAATTGCTCGACCATGAGTTTCAGGAAGATGTGATGTCTCTTGCTTGCAGTATGCTGGAAGAGTGGCCTAACACTTACGCCTTCACGAAAGCCGTGGCAGAAGATTTAGTTAGAGATGAAGGAGTTGGTCTCCCCATCGGCGTCTTCAGACCAGCTATAGGTTAGTGAGTCAACCTCTATATACACTGTGCGCCACATGAGGAGAACAAAGTCTATCGCTTGCTGTCAGTAACAGTGTCACATACTGTGGTAAAGGCAAAGCTATTCCTGTAACAGGCCGTGGAGGCCCATGGAGTTGTGAGATGTCGAGGCTCCTACATTTTTAGACAATCGGCTCACGGATGGTGGTGAGGTTGTCAGCCTCACGCGCCGGTCCCATATTTACAACCCAGGAGGATTCGTGATACTCATTTCTGTCAGATGCTAAGACGACCCCAGGGCCATAGTGCGGCTGGAAAATCCAATTACCTTATCGGGAATCGAACTCACGACCTTGTGGCTTGTAGCATAGTGCCTCAAGCAGCTACACTTCGGCGTGCCCCCACATACTGTGGAACTGGAACAAATCCTGAACCAATCTATAACCTTTACCTGGGTATCTTCTCATTTTTACCCGCTGTCTTGCCATTTCTGGTATTTGAAATATGTTAATATTTCGGAGTGCCACGTCTGAATTCAATGGTGGTAAGTACAGGTATTACCACAGTTTAACTTGTTCCTATTTTTCTCGTGAATTAAATTTGTATCTGTTGATATCATTTCGAAAATTTTTGAACTCTCTCAAATGAATATCAGTAAACACACAGGAATTAAATCCTTCATATGCTAGATGCAGTTGCGCTACTAAGATATGCAGTATTATTAAATCATAGAAATAATTATCCATGTCATATTGATGGCCATAAGTAACGGAAGAGTGGGTTACAGAATTTGAACCCGATGCGCCTGATTTATGAGCCAGTTAAGCTGGCTCGTTTAGTCGTAGTGTACAGCTAATGCACACGTGTGAACCTGTCGTAGTTGTGGCCACGCGCGACGAGCCTGTCTGCGGATGGATTGACAATTTATACGGGCCTACCGGTGTGTTCGTTGGGGCCGGAACTGGTTTAATCAGGACAGTGCACATTGATGGAGACAAGGTTGCCAACATAGTTCCTGTTGACATGGCCGTCAATGCTCTAATAGTGTCGGCGTGGGAAGTTGCCAACAAGCCCAGGTATTTTTTTGTTTCCATGGATAGCAATCCGTACATGAAATCGAATGGCTTCAGAACACAAGACAAACCCGTTACCACCCTTGCAACAAGCTTTGTGACAAACAATGATAATAAGTGAAAACACAGTACTTGTATAAACACTTAAGACTTTTACACTTACATAAGTCACTAAATCTTGTAAAGTCATTTTCATGTCACTTCAGCCATTTTTGCTTCTTCCCCCCCGGAGCAATGTATGTCTGCAAACTAAATGCCAAGCTATTTATTAACCTCAAAATGTCCGCTGTGGCTTGAAAGTCATGGCGGTGGTATTCTCAGTTGTGCAGTTGCAGAATTGAGGTATAAGAGGGCGATAGAGGGTGTCGCGTGGTCAGCGCAACGAATCCCTCCGGCCGTTAATTTCGGAGGAAACATCAAGGCCAATGAGAATTGCAAGGACTGAATTTTGACAGGCTATTCACTAGCCTTGATACATGCACGATTAGTTGTGTTTGTCCGTCCGTATGCCCATCATACACGTATTTTCAAAACCCACCGGATTTGTATGAAATTTCATATTGGCAAGATGAAATTTACACTGAAAGTTGTCTAGGGAATTTTATTTTGTTCCGCATCGGCAAAATACAGACGAAACATAGGGCAGTATTAAGTTCTTTACGAATGTAATTCTCACTTAATTAAATCTCTCGCAAGTGGAACATAAAGCAATGAGTTTTAGTGGCTACAAAAATGCTGAAGTGCCTTTGCCACTGTGATACCCTACAAATTCCTCCAGTTTTTCACGATAATTTCGGAGGGGCATCATCTTATTTCATAGCTGACCATCCTAGTCAATCGTTACCTTTGATTTGCCGTATGATAAATGCTGTAATATGTCAGTCACAATTCCAGTAAAGTTAACAAAAAATAAAAAAATTCCAAGAAATCAATTGGAATACGTTTTTCTATAGAGAAAATATGGCGCAGATAATAAATACGTCTGAACAATATATTTCTACACCTTTACATGAGAACTAATATCTATCACATAAACAAAGTGGGAGGGATGTACTCAATAGTGTAACATAAATTCACCAACGGAGTTTTGTAGAAGTTTATTACACATACTTAGAAAGATGGTACTGAAATTCAAGTTAGTGGAAACCTCCCATATTGAATGTTTATGTTATACAGTAAAAATTCCATTTATTCCCTTACACAGGAGGATTTTTAGTGTGTGGACCAGATCCACGGCTCTGCGCTCCACTGCGGCCGGTGCACCGCTTGGTGCAAGGTGCATACAAATTTTGCCGATGAATCAGCATACCTGGCGGTCGATAGCGTTCCGAATTAAGTAGTTACAATTCACAGACCACAGGAAGTGTTGAAAATGTTGCCCTCTCTGCACGTAAATATTTTTCGCAATTAATTGTTTTGTTACAAAACACAGGTACAGCAACCCTTCTTGCACTTACACCACACCAAACATCAAATTTCACTGGATGACTTCAACAGTTATGGTGCCGTTCTTGCACTAGACTTTGACATTCCAGTCTCTTAAGCTAGAAGTTTCAGTGAATTTCTAGGTGTATGTTCAAGTCTGGTCCATACAGCATCTAACTTTTCCTCAGTAAGCACTCGACGCTTATGTTCTTTCTTGTCTATTAAGAGTCCCGTTGTTATAAATTTATTAAAAAATTGTGAATTGTTTGTCTGCTGGGAACTCTTTCATCACGAAATTTATGTCGAAATTTTTGCCGACACTTTCCAGCAGATACGTGTTTCACAGGGTGACATACAGAAACACACGTTGCACTGAAGTATACCGCATCATGACATACCTCACTGCGCATTAACTGCAGCTGAAACAAATGGCTGGTTGGAGCTGATAACTGCTGCCTACTGCTGAAAAATCATAAACAATCTCCGACACTGCTCGCCGTATAACGTAATACCGTCAAGTAGTCCACAAGTTAATTATTTCCCTTTATTCCAAACGTTTTTGGCCGTCAGGCATGCTGGTTCATCAGCAAAATTCGTATGCACCTCGCAGCAAGCGGCGAACCGGCTGCAGTGGAATGCAGAACTACGTAAAACACGCTGATGGAAATGTTTCTGTTCCTAATACAGGGCCCAGAGTGGTGATGAGATCCCTGTGTACAACTATGTGTCTTCGGTGCAAAGGCCGCTCACCTGGGAGCAGTTCATGGAGAAGAGCTCGCGTCATGGGAAGAAGGTGCCACCTATGCGAGGCGTCTGGTGCTATTCGTTGACACTGAATAAGCATCGCTCCTTGCACTTACTGTATACATTCCTGCTGCATGTGCTGCCGGCCATCATCGTAGACGGTTTTGCAGCGCTCCTGGGAAAACGGCCCAAGTATGTTGCCTTGTGACAGTCTGTCGTTATTGGACAATGTCGCTAGGTTTCCGCTTTAGTGCATAAGCACTCTAGGCCTCTTCGTTTCTCCCATCGGCACGCATGAAGTAACTGCAGTCCGAATGAATATTACATTGAGTGACCTCACAAAGAACGTTGATCAACGTTCCCTCTAAGCTGGGGGAGCAAGTGCGCAAGTCATGGTGTCTTCTGAACAGCAATTCGGTTGGCTTGGACAACCGGTGGGGGGGTGGGGGGTTGGAACAGCGATTTTCGAGAGTGGTTCACAACAGACATTAATATTAAAAGTTCTAAAAAAATAACAAAAAATTGTAGTTTACTTCCTCGATTTTATTTTAAAATTGAATGTATACTAAACGAATAAAATTGCGCGGAAGACTGAGATTCGAGCGCGGGAGTGCGACAGCCGTTGCGCGGCGCCTCATGCACACAGCTTCGAGGGAACGTTGATGACAACTAACCAAATCTTGAAGGATTTGAGGTTCTCACAGCGGTGATTAAAAAAAGTTATATCTCTGGGATACAATGTCGTGCAGTCTGTTGAAAGTCAACCGAGGTTTCGGAGAAACATGTTGTCTCCATATTAGGGGTTGAAGAGTATGAGAAGCAAATGATTTAGACACATTTTAATTGTATAAATATATGTGTGAATTACTAACTATAGGAAAGAACTTAATTAATTGAAATAAGAAAATCATATGTTCCTATATTTCTCCCTCTCCCCTCCCCTGTTGTTTTCACTTTAGAGAATAGGGCTTATATTTCAAACGCGTTGTTTTACTTAAGTTTCTTAATTCTAGGACAGTCTGTAGGACTTTTTGGCCGGATAAAATTTNGTGTTTGTAATACGTGCCTCTGATGATGGTTTCTCTTGAACCGAAACATGTAAGGCAAGTGAGATAAATAAGTGACCAAAAAACATTGTTACACTCGACGGATTTTCATTGACAATTTGTGATTGATAGTGTAACGGACCAAAAATGAAACAATTTAAAATACTAGGGAGAGATTTAGCGGAATATGTTACATTTAATGTGAGTGCATATGTGCTCACGTGTTACGTTACTGCTTGCACCGGGGGTACAAGAAAACCGTTACTTATGCGACACACATCAATGTTGAAAATGCATGAAAATCTTTTCCAAGCACACTATAGAGGCACACACAAGGGTACAATAAATAGTATATGTATTTATAACTGACTTAAAAAGATAATGGTTAAATATAATATATTTTGTATACTTTTGATTTAAACGTAATATAAGGGGACAAGTTGATTTATTAATTTGTTTGTTATTTAACGACGCTTTCAGAAGCTGGACTATGCAGTATAGCGTTGAATGGATGGATGATAGATGAGCAAAAACTTGGAATGAATTTGGAAGGAAGTTGTTGAGGCTTAATCAAAGTAATACTCCGGAATTTTCATGGAGGGACTGAGGAAAATCATGAATAACTTCTGTCAGGATAGCTGACATTCTGGCCGACATTCGATTACAAAAGCATTGCCGCCTTTAATGAATAGACTATTGATTTAAATGTAAGGGAACCAAGTTAAAATTAATATAAAGAAGAGTATATAAACGGCCTTGAAGTCGTACACAAGAGAAGATATAAAATAGAAAAATATCCTTGCAGATATCAGTCAGCAGATTCAGTTTTATTTTCAGGTTTTATAGTCAATAATTTTTAAAACGTTTCTTTTTAAATTCGCTTAGTCGGGGGTGGAGTCCAGCTGGGTCCACTCGGCACGGCGGCTACTGATTGGCCTATTGTAGCTTGCCTAGGGTGATTATGATGATGGAGAATTTGGTGGAATGAAATCGAAGTACTCGGAGAAAACCCGCCCAGCGTCACTTTGTCCACCACAAATCCCACTTGACCAGACCCCGGGATCGAACCCGGGCCGCTGCGGTGGGAAGCCAGCGACTAACCGCTTGAGCTATGATAGTCAATAATAATCATTCTTCAATTTTAAAAAATTAGAAGAATTCTTCCTCCAAACCATCTGTTGAATTTCAACATGCTACATGGCGTTACATCCCAGAAAACAGAACTCATAAAACTCTAATAATTAAATCTACTTTAGCGTCTTTTATTTGGAAAGAATTATTCTTTCTTGGCCTATTTGACTATAGGGTGAAGATTCTCAAGATGTATGGTTGCATTCTAAATAGCTTCTTTATCTCTAGGTTACTGAAGATCTACAAGAAGATCAATAAGTTCATCAACGTTATATCCTATTTCGGTACCCGAGAGTGGAAATTCACGAACAAAAATGTTCAAGCTTTGTGGGAGAGGCTGAATGAAGAGGACAGGAAAATGTTCGACTTTGATATCGGAGGGCTCGACTGGGAGAAATATTTCTACAGTTATGGACGAGGAGTCAGGGTATACCTGTTGAAGGACGAACTCGCCACAGTTCCACAGGCCAAGGCAAAGTATAAAAGGTGCATAACCCTCCTCACAATGTATGAATATTTGGCGAACTGTAAGGGCCGCCTGCAGGTGTTCTCCTTTATACAGAATGTCCGGATGGAAGGTATCCAAAATAAAATCATTATATCTCAGAGAGAATTTATTATATACATTAATGGGTTACATCATTACAAAGAGACACTATCAAAGTTTATTTCTGCGTATATAATTTTCTCAAAAAATTTAAATGTGTGTTCCCTTGGTGGCACGACAAATATCCAGGCTTGAAGCAAGTTTAGTGTTACCGTAGCCACAACGTACCTTATGTGGGACTTCAGGTGTTGCAGGTCGATGATTTTAACCTGGTTGACAATGTTCTTCACATAACGCGACAAGAAAAATCCACTGGAGTTAAATCTGGCGACTTAGGAGGCCGATTCATATCCCTCTGCCTCTGCCTCTGCCAATTCATATCCCAGCCATCTCTCTCTGTCCAGGTGATTCCTAACATGTTGGCAAAAATGTGGCGGCGCTTGCGCGTAAGCCGGGTACGAAGAAAAAACTTTCAGAGTTTCCTTTTCCGATGACATAAAACGTTTGGATACCTTTCATCCGGACATCCTATATTTACGTTCTATGTGCATAAAGCTATATTTACAATTATAGCAGGTAGAATCCAGTTGCTGACAAATCTATAACAGGTTAATTAACTTCTTTTACACTGCCTGGCCCAAGTATAAATAAATATTACCCAAAAGAAGAAGTTTCAAATTAAATACAGTAGTTTTAATGGAAATTGATGTGTATATTATATAACTCCTCCATTTTTAAAAATGACACGTTTTTAATAAATAATTATGGCCGCTTCTTTTTCAAAATTTATGTAAAGGACCGCCTCTGTGGTCTAGTGGTCAGAGTTCCTAGCTACAGATCCAGAGATCCCGGGTTCGATTCTCGGCGCTACCAGATTTTCTGAGAAATAGTGGGTCCGGAACGGGGTCCACTCAGCCTTGTGAGGATAACTGAGGAGCTATTTCCAGGAAATAGCGACTCCGGTCTAGAGAACCGAGATTAACGGCCGTGGGGATTCGTTGCGCTGAAGACGCGACCCCCTTTATCCTCTATGGTTGGCACTAACTTCGCCGACAAGCGGCGACCGCCCGGTCGGTATAGTTCGCTTGCGGACTACAGGCCACGGAGTTTGTTTTCAAAGGACCGATATAGATCAACATAACATACAGCAAATATATTAGGACAGGCAGCTGACCAAAAATAAATGTAACTGAAACTCAAATTCGGCGAAGATTTTCACCCAAATCCTGTGCAGCAGTCTGCCTACCAAGTATAACTTTCTGCCCCGATTTTCTTTCCAGGTTAGTCTTGATGCACCAAGGGGTGAAGCTTCTGGTGCTGATCCTTGTGTTGAGGTTGCTGTGGACGATATGGAGCCTCTTGTCATAGAAGCGACAATTCCTAATCTCCAGCTGCGTGAAGCAACACAAGGACGTGTACAAAGCGTGAACTTTCACAACGACAAAGAGCACTTTACCTCTTGCCTCTGAGTTCACGTTAAATATGCTTATGTGTGTGACGTTTTTATGGGCCATACCAGCCTTGTTGTTTCCATAAGACAAGAGCATAAATGTGCACTGTTTTGGACAACATATATTTCTCCACGTTTGTTGTTTTCAGTTCCGTCCCTTTTATTCGTCTTGGTGTTCATTATTGCATATATAATAGTTCATTGCTGACACAGCCAATTTCCAATATGGAGGAAAAGCTGAAATATTTGTGTCAGCATAGCACCCTGCGGTGTGCAGCAAAGTTACTTCGTTACACTGGCGATGGAACCAAAGAGAAAGGGGAAGCATGACATCACAGATTACGTCAGACACGAACTAAGAGTTTAGGAAATAATAAATACCATAAAATTTGGCATTTTGTTACTTCCTCGCATTGTCATCTCCTACTTCCATTGTCTTTGAACAAAAATGAAAGCATGAAACTTGTGCCCTCTCGTAAATATTTATTTGTCATATATAATTGCATACATTTCAGGAAATAGTTTTAAGAAGGCGGCGAGAATGAAACAGCATCCCTTAGAATAGCGTCCAAAAAAAAAAAGCCACGAACGATCGTTTCTAACAATAAAGCCGCTCTGCCAGCATCCGCAACACATTTTTTTTCTTTTCATCGTGTTGAAATGAACGCAAATTAATTAAATCCTGACAGGGAATTCCGCAAATGTTCTTCGTCTGGCTGAAATTGTGAATTATTTGAAGCATCTAAAGACGCGTACGGCCATTCAACGTCGTCATAATGATGGGAAATGTAAATATTTTCCGATCAGAATTTCGGAAGATGTGAAAATTACACAATTTCTGATTACAATATTTTGCCATACAATATAAAAGTTTGGTTTTACGAACTAGGAACGGATGAAGAAAGCAGTCTTCTGGGATGTGGAGCCGTGTAGATATTGTGTTAACCGACGTTTCGGAGGAACGTATCGCCTCAATCTTCAGGCTAGAAGAAAAGAGAAGAAAGTCCTCGAGCGAGGAACTAGCTCGCACTGACAATGTGAAAAAGTGTTCAGTATTGTCACGTACTCTGGTAACGCGAGTAATTAATGGGTTCTCTGGATTGATGAATCGATTTATTGGATATTCACCAGTCGGATCTAGAAATATTTATAACACTTCAAAAGGTTACTGGAACAATGACACACGAAGTCTTCAACACTTCCAGCTTTAGACGCTCCTTGTACGAATTCTGTGAGCAGATCTGTACCCAATCTACTCATCTACTCTCTTCTGTCTCTTATTCGGACTGGGCTACTACTCGGTAGGACTCTCTAGTATCTAATCTCTTCTCTTCTGTATTCTCTTTCTGGTCAGTTCTCTCGACCTAAGCTGGCTTCATGCCGATTGGATATGAAACACTCCATGCAAAGGTACACTTCTTCGTTTTTGCTATTGCCATCGAAATGTGTTTTCATTGCCGCGTGAACAATCTTTACTTAGCCGTTGTAACAGAAACGTTTCAGTACGTGTTGCCTTTGAATCGATGTCTCTGTCACAGCCTCTGAGACGTGTTTCAACAAGCCGTTACCTAGCAATGGACTATTTATCAAGAATTTGCCTTAACGGGAAGTCATTTACCAACACGTTGCACAGCAATGGGTGTATATTTAACAATATTTTGTGCAACTATAGAAATTTCCCTTCTAATTTTTAGGACTGCAATTAATAAATTTATGTGGCTCACGGTTAGGCCTACAAGTATGCGTACACACATGAGGACGGTTGCCGCCAAATGATGAAGAGACAAATCAGTCAGACAAGAATTCCGGCCTTTAGGTCTACATTACGAGATGGGTGATGGTTTCTGCTGAAATTCAAACACTTCAACTTTTGTTGTAAATATTTATGAAAAGGCGTTTGTGTATAGAAGTTACCTGAGATTTTCAATAAACGTTTACTATCAAAATGTGTACTTAGATTTTTGCACGTTTTATTTTACTTCTTGATTACTTAACGAAAAGCCTCTCATACTTTGTTATTCCTGTCTAAATATTATTATAATGATCAGATCAAAAGAAGATGAGATGGGCAGCGCACGAAGCACACAAGGGAGAAAAGAGAAATGTATACAAATAATTGGTGGGAAAACCTGAAGTAAAAAGTTCATGAGAAGGGCCTAGGCTTAGATGGGAAGATGATATTAAAATGGACATTAAAAGTAGGTTGTGATGGTGTGGACTGGATTCATCTGGATCAGGACGGCGAGCAGTACTAGGGTCTTGTCAACACGGTAATTAATTTTCAGGTCTTATTAATTGCTTGTAATTTCTTGAGCAATTGAGCAAGTACTCCATTCTCAAGAAGACCTCAGCTCCATGGAGTTAGTTTGCAACTCATGCTACCTGGTGAAATGAATAATGCTATGTGAGAATTATACGAGGGGGGACCCAAAAATAACCGGAAACGACCTGTTGCGCGCGCATGCTTTGTAGTTACGAGTTGTGCTGCTAGGTGGTGTTAGCTGGGGGTCTCCCGCGACTGTTAGTGAGCTGGCGTCAGTCTGAGTTGAGTGGTTTGTCTGTGGTGCTCTGTTGTGTGCGTTCCTGTTTCAACCCTTTGGCGATTA